CCATTAAGTATTTCTCTTACTTTCAAGAAAGTATACATACTAAGAGCAGGCGAATTAAAACATGTAACCCAGCAATGCTCCAAAGTCTTTAAGTTAATAAAGACTTTGGAAAATTATGTATAGGTATATGAGGCTGGAGAAAATGCAGGAGGAGGAGGCAGGCCCTGCAATCTGTTCTCAGGCCTCTAGCCGCTTGGATTTTAAAACTGCCACATTTTTCCTAGAGATAACGATCTCAGTTTCTGATAGTAGCCTGACTGTTGAGTAAACCTGCCCGGTCAACAGTCAAGGAAGTTGTTCTTTGGGAAGAGTGGAATGGGCGAGGGGAGCAGGGTGAGAAGACACTGAGGTCAGAGCAATTTTCAGAGCATTAAAGGGGTGAGAATGTTGGCCTTGGGATCTAAAGGCTCAGTGAGAGGGTCCCTTTGCCATGTCATGTCATAGAGGAGCTTTGCAAGAAGAACCTGGAGGCGAGAGTACCTTATGAGCCTGAGAAAGGAGAAAATTTCTTCAGAGGAGGGGACAGTCTTAGATGAGATAAGGAGATAAGGCGTTTACAGTCCCAGGAATGGCTCGGCCTTGTGGGGTGAGACAGTGAAATTGAGGTAGGTGACTGTGGTTTGGGACAACTGGGCTTAATGAGGGGGTGGCCTTCCCTTCCACACCTTGGGCAGGGCCCAGGTGGGGGTCTCGGGTTTAAGCAGGACTTGGCTCACTGTCTTTCCTTGCTGCTTTTGAGGCATGGGCCAGGAGGAGGCTTAGCCCCTGACTTACCCGCGGTTGGAGGACCGGCACTTCGTTTAGGGTTTGAAAGCGGTGGCTAGGAGCTGGAAGGCCTCCTAATGGGCCTCAGCCTTGGCCTGATCTCGTCTTTGATTTTGGATATGGGTTTTCCTCGTCTCTGTTACTAAAGACCTTAAAGGTCAGGTTAACGAGGACTTTTTGAGGGGTTTGTGGAAGTTTGCTGTGCATGTCAGGGGAGTAAAGGTGGTCAGGTCAGTGGAAAAAGAAACCTGAGATGCCTCTCAATCTGTGTGAGGCTTGACATAGAGAATGGGACATTTACTCAGACTATGCCCTCAGTTCCTGCTGCCTTCCTCGGGTAGAATGGACGCGGGAATAGAAGAGGCTGTTGAGGAAGGCAGTCTGTGGGTGACCTGAGTATGAGTGTTAGATGGGAAAGGCTGTTTTAGAGCTCACGTTCTCAGGATTTGGGCTTTCAGGGATTGGGGAGAAGGTAGCTGCCGGTTAGGAGGGTCTGAAGAGAAAGAGCCGAGGTGTTTTTCGATTTGAGAAAGATCAGAGAGTGAGAGGGGAATGGCTACCCGGGTAATACCCTCCCCCCTGCGACTTTCAAGCAAAGGGAACTGGCCAGCCACCTGAATTCGGTTGCTGGAGGTCACGGGGGCCAGAGATTCGGCAGAGAGCGCACAGGAGCAGGCGGGCAGTTAGAGGTCTCAGAGCGCATGGGATAAAGGTTTCTACGGCAGGGCTGTAAGGGTCAGAAGACAGAGAAAGGAGCTAAGAATCAGTTTGAGAGGGCAAAGACGACTTTGCGAGGAGGATCTGATGAGTGGAACATGAGAAGTAAAGCGAGGAGCGAGAGCAGAGGGAAAAAGAAGCCTGTTCGTAGGGATTTCGAAAGCTTTCCCTGTCCGGTGGCAAAAATCTAGATCTCGGAGGATATTGGAATCAAAAGTGCCATTTTCGGGCCACTGAGAGCCATTGTTGAGTTTATATTGTGGCCAGGCAGTGTTACAGGGGAAAAAAAAAAAAACAACAAAAAAAATGAGCTTCTTTGGTTTGATGTAGCCAGAAAGACCCAGGGTCAAGAGATTGGCGAGGAGACACCCTAAGGGTGTGTTTCGAGGGGGTTTGGACTGAGAGGTCCCTATGACCGGAGGGAAGGGCGA